TTTTATAAACGTTATTATTTATTTTTAAAATCGTTTTCATTTATTTATAAGATAAAAAAGTTTGTTAGCATATTTTAATGTTTTTATAACTGTTTGTTATGTTTATACTAGTTGGCCCGTGGGAATAATTCGCAGAGAATTTTGTTTAGTGAAGAAATAGCAAAACAATATGGAAATAAATAGTTTCTATGTATTATGTAAGGAAGGAATTAACATATTTTCCTTGGTCGATTATAATATTCCATTAAACATAATAGACCGAAATATTTGTACAAATTGCTTTGCTAGGACCTATTTTTAAACACTGACTGGAAAAATAATAAGAGTAATATAGACAAAATAATGCCCCCATCAAGGGATGTTCTAAATTATTAAAAAAAAAAAAAAAAGTAAGAACAACCTAATGTCCTTAAGAAATAATAAAGTTAATATATCAGCCAGGAAAAAAAAATTTAGTAGACTATTCTATTCCTAAATGCAATATATTTAAACAGGAAGACATCATTAGGAAGACAAGTATACCAAAACTAATGGACTGTATCTTTGTTAATAATTGTCTCATTTTTTGTTTTTGTTTTGTAGGTAATTTAGTAATCTTTCTAATTATCATAGGTACAATCAAGAAAAAAAATGCATATTTTTTGAGTTATTCGAAAGTCAAGTTTCTTTTCCTTCATAACTTTTTTTCCAGACATTTCGGGGGGATAGAACTATTTTTGCATGTGAAGCAGATCTTTAAAATGAGTGGTCAATCATTGGATTTGATGAAGAATTGACGAAGTTATGGTGTACCTACAAAAAAAGCACCTTTTAGAAATAATATGTAGGATAGAAGAGCTGTGCTGAGATAGTCGTCGTGGCAACGACTTCAGTTTTCATTATGATGTTTTTGCCTGCGTTCAACTAAAACATTCATAACTCCACAGGATGTTATCCAAATTCAATGTTCCTACAACCGTTGGAAAGCTGAATTATCGCTCTTCAAGATCGTATAAATAACTCTTTGGTTTAACAGATCTGTAAAGAGTAAATAAACAAAAACTCCTAACAGGTTTTTATTTTATAACTTGAGTTCTAAATTAGAAGGTACAGTTTGTGTCATTTAGTGTAGTTTATAAGGCTCTATATCCCTGCAAAATTTCGTGTGTATAGGTGAAAGAATATTGTAGTTATAACACTTTTTGTGATTTTCGAAATAAAATAGTAATAAAAGGAGCCTTAGGTCAAATTTGTAGAAAAAATTTTTATTTTTCGATTGCAATGAAAATTCGTATTCGAGGGTCTTTCGAACTGCGAAATACAAATTTCAACTCTGTTTATCTTTAAACAAATATTTCAACACACTTTACTCTTTCCGTCAACACAAAATTTTTTAAATTATACATATTGCTAATCGATTTTTACGATTTTTTGTTTTTGTTTTATAGGTAATTTAGTAATTTTTCTAATTATCATGTGTACGATCTAGAAAAAACGCATACTTTTTGAGTTATTCGTAAGTAAAGTTTCTTTTCCTTTATAACCTTTTTTCCGGAAATTTGGGGGAGGTATGACTATTTTTCCCATGTGAAGGAAAAGAATATCTTCAAAAAGAGGAGCCAAACATTAGATTTGATGAAGAATTGGCGAAGTTATGGCGTACCGATAAAAAAACACCTTTTAGAAATAATATATAGGATTTAAAAATAAATTTATACATGCTAAGACAGTTGTAGGATTGTTTTTAATGTAGTATTGGATATACTTGCAAATATCTTTTTTTTTTTTTTTTTTTTTTTTTTTTCTTACCCTCCAAAATGTTTATTGAAACAATTACATATATAGTATACAATAATACAATATATACATGTAATAAATTCCTTCCACTGCCCGAGGGCATTTTAAGGATTGGCGATAGCTAAGGGTTACATATGTGGCAGAAGGCCTTGTGACTTTGAGGAGGTACGATGTGTCCCTGTGTCATGAAGTATACATTCAGTACTTGCAAATATCTTTTTTTTTTTTTTTTTTTTTTCTTTTTTTTTTCCTATCCCCCAGGAATTTCTTGAATAAATACAGTATGTATATAAATGTATATATACATAAATTTTCAACTTTCCTTTTATTGCCCAAGGGCATTGCAATATATATACTAAATTGCAAATATCTAAATAAAACAATTGGATATATTAACAATATGTATACATTAAACGTGAGAGGAAGGTAGACACCTTCCATAACATAGGTACATTTCTAACAAACTTTTTCAGCAAAAATGAATGATGTTAAAAATTGAAAACTATTTTTGATTTCTTAGTTTCTACAAGCTCCAAATAAAAATTAAACCGCTGACTACATAAAAATGTCTAAAAAACAAAACATTCTCTATGAAATATAATATAATTGTACTTATTAAATATATTTTTCCAAATTTATTATTGCAGAAAAATTATAAGAAAATTGAGGTGTCCACACGAAAGGGGAATGGATCATAAAATCCAATAATGCTTCTATATTATTATTATTCCGGGATATGAATGAAAATTCAAATGATAGAAATATTGAGATAGTGATAAAATAGTTACCTACCTACTTATAGCTCTTGGCTTAGCCAGGATAGTCTAGAAGAGGCTAGAGACTTCTTTTCTTTATTATTTTTTTAATCGATTTTAGTTTATATATTTTATTCATTTATGTAGCTTATTTGTCATATATTTGTTTTAACTCAAATTATTGGGGGGAGGGGCCGAAACGATATCCTCGTCCCCTCAACATTTTTATGGGAGGAGGGAAGCGATCGCCCACCTCTCCCCCCCCCCTTCTCCCAAATCTATGGATCTGATTCATCGAAATCTATTGGCAGGAGTCGTAAGGTGTAGCAGAAGGTACTCGACTACTATATTAGGTTTAAATATATTCGTAGAGGTCAATTTCCCCTAAAAATTAAAAAAAAAAAATGTTCACCAGAGTTCATCTCTGTAATTATAGTTTTTTTTTTAAATTAAATTATATTTTATTTTAACGTTTTTTGTAAAATATGTGACAATAAGCCGAAAATTCCATCCCAATTACAGGATCTGCGTAGTAGGGAAGTTGTTCTCTAGAGTAGACAAATTCAAATACCTCGTTTCCACAATAACCGGAAATAGACCAGCGTACAACAAGCGCAAACAGAGCATTGTTCTTCCTTTCAAAGGTATTCAATATCCCAAAATTACTCAAGAAATCTTAAATTAAGGATACACTATGCTATGATAAAGCCAGTTTTGATACATGGGTGTGAGGACCTGGACACTAAACAGCGCTATAAAATCAGAATTGAAAGATTTGAGAGAAACATCCTTCACATGACAACCGGACCGATCTGTGATCAGAGTACTAGCACATGAAGGAGAAAGACCAATAACGAGCTGATTATAGAAACTGGTCGTACTTGTAGAAAGACAACGTGGAAGGCAATAAAACAGATGGGTAGATCGAATAAACAAAGATAGAATACAACTTGCAGGCTGATAGCTGTAAAGATATAGCCCAAGATAGGCAGAGATGGAGTAGGCTTGTCAAGGCGGCAAAAGATCTATAAGATCTGTAATGCAAACAGAAAAAAAAAATTTGGTTTTTCAAGTATTGAAAATTTATATTCACCACGTGTGATCGCGAACTTATACATGGCATAATATGAAACCAACAAAAAACTTCAAATATAATAAAATATTAATTTCTTCATCCTGTATATTTTGAATCATGTAACATAAAAATCAGTTCAGCCGTTTTCTTTAAAAAATATATTCCTTTTAGCCGATAAATTAAACACATTTTATACAGTAATTTGCGTTTGAAGTACGCATTGTTTCAAAACTCTCACGAGAAATCATTGAATAATTTGAGTATCGCATTCAAAAAAGCCATTCAATTAAAAAACCGTTACATACCTGAAGGCGGTCAACCCAAACACATAATCCTCCTGGTGGCTTCACCAGTAATATTGTATAATATTGTTTATTGTATAATTGATTAATAATATAGCATAAATGTAATAAAAATTATCATTTAGTGATAGTAATATGCATTATCTAGCGACTGGGAAAAAGTCAAACGGAGCAGTTGGATCGGCGAGATAGGTTGCGTGCGAGGGGTCCTTCTGTGGTTATCCCCTTTAGATTTCACTCACTATAGCGGTTGAGTCACGGAATAATCTACTCAGAAGATTGCGTTGTTTGGCGTTTAGCCTTTATCTTCGTTTAAAAAATATATATGCTAAACGATTCACTAGATCAATTATATGTTGCACAAATAATTTATCCTCTAAGCTGCTAAATTCAGACGAGTAATGTGCTATTATGAATAGACGTTTCATTAATATATAGTAAATAAATAAAAAAAGGCTATGTGTAAAGTCAAAGGTTACCGTTGTGGTGGAGCAGGAATGCGTGGGAATCGTAATTGAATAATAACAAATTTATCTATCCAGATTACATGAATAAGTCAACTGCAATTCAACTTTATTAAGTAAATAAATAACGTCATGATGCTTTGTATTGCTTTACTTATTGCCCAATGTATATCTATGCATTATTTAATAAATTACTCGTACGATAGCAAGCTTCTGGGCTATTGTAGGAAATCACATAAAGACAAATAAACTAAATTTTTCTTTTCATAATACAGCCAAAGGTTCGCTCACGTGCCGTCTTCCACGGATCCCAGCCTGGATGCTATCCTTCCACTAACGTCTCGGTCTACCCTTAGACACTTACTCATATGTATCATGCTGATTAACTTTTTACTGAATCGTTCCTAAGTCTAACAACCTTACATGACCATTTCAAATTTCGAGATGCTATGTCCTTAATTATACTTATCGGATGAAGTTCAGTTAATTCGGCACGAAACCTACATTAAAACTGTTGGTGCTCAGCGGACGCAGAATTTGATGCTCTACAACTTTTATCCTTTTGTTAAGAAAATTCATTTTTAAGCTGCAGGGCCAGTTACAGTAATTTGTCTCAGTTTTTGACCAATTTCTTAAACATCAGCGTTGCTTCACCGTGGTTAGCGACCATACCAATCAACCAAATGATGGAGCATAGGTACTCGTTCGGCGCACAATTTAACATTTTTTAATTTAATTAAAGAGTACATGCACCATTCATGAGTTATAGGATACATAAACAGATCGAAAAAATCGGTATTTTTTGGGGATAAAATGTTATATCCTGGTGACACACGTAGCAATTTTGTTTTTTACATGTTTAAACCAATGTATGAGCCTTTCAGCTGACAGAATGACTAACTCTAATATCTACATTCTTTAGTATTAATTTTATTGATATTTCTAGTGAGAAAATTCATACCTTTATTCAAAGTTCTATATTTCAACATTGCAATAAACTACTCTAGAAGCAATTTACTCACTGTCGGTATAGATATTATAAATTTTCCAACTAGAAATATCACTAAAACGACTTTACTCAAAAATTTTGAAATTGGAGTTAGTCATTCTGTCAACTGAAAGGCTTATATATAATTTAAAAACTTTTCCCATATTTTTCGCAATAGATTTCCCGTTTCGATCCTTAAGTTACTGGCCTAAAGTTCTTTAAATCAGCGGAAATTATTTCATGTAGCATGAACATCGGATGGCAGACTCTCATTTGTGAAATATAAATATTATAAATATTCAAGAAATGGTTTCAAAATTTTCATCAGATGTCAATCTCGGGCTATGAGGAGAGGAAACAGAATTTAGTTGGATCCATCGTTGATAATAATGGGGAAGTTGGGCTTGTAATTCCAATATTTCAACTTCACATAAACTAACTACCCTTATAGTGGACTCATAATTTGGGATAAAAACGCCCTGATAAAAAATATATCACAAAATCCTGACTACGTCATCCAAGATAACAACCAGCCAATTGTATCCGTCTCTACATTTATCAATAATGATTCTTAAGTGATAAAATTTTTACTAAAGATAAAAAATAAAAATAAAATCAAGTGATATAGATCTGCATAAATACAATTTTGCTAAAAGCCAATAAGCAGATAACTAATGTCTAGCCAATATGAGCAATAAGCTAATTATTTATTTTAAACTAAATGCATGAATGTCACCAACTTTTATTTAAAAATTATAGATTAATGAAAAATAAATGTTATATTTTGGTCAGGAAATTAATTGTCATATTAGTTATTACTTGAATGTACCATTAAAAAAATCTTCGATTATGTATTTTTTTTAATTAATTAAAAAAGCAATATTTTGGGTTACCTTAATTTCGTATAATTCCTACAGTTAGACATACCAAATGAAAAAATGAATATTAAAAGAAAAAAAAATTATTTATGCTTAATTTAGATTTTATTTTTATTTTATTTTAGTTGTCAGATACGATTTTAAAATCATAGACGGCTTTTAATTTCTTTAAATCTTACATTTTAAATTGGCCAGAAAACTAATTCTTAAATTCAATCCAAGCTAAGAGTTACACATAAAAGTTATTAATTAAATGCAACATTAAAAAAAATACTCGATTATGTATTTTTTTAATTAATTAAAAAAGCAATATTTTGGGTTACCTTAATTTCGTATAATTCTTACAGTTAGACATACCAAATGAAAAAATGAATTTTAAAAGAAAATAATTTATTTATGCTAAATTTATATTTTTTTATATTTTAGTTGTCAGATTAAGATTTTAACCTGACCAGCTGCACCTTAACATCTCAGCCGCACCAGACAGCTCGGAAATACCGGTGGTTTTTTTTCTTCTTTTTTTTTAGCATTCTACCAGGATTTCAAGTCCATTCAACAACTCTTAACGTTTTACAATTTTTTATATAACTTTTTCACAGTGGAAATCAGATTTGTACTATTTTCCTTTCTTCTTTTTTTTTTTTTGGCGGAAGGACATGTTGTTGACCAAAAAATGTAAGTTGGTAACCCACGGCTGTAAATCTGCTCAAGGTTAGCATAAGAATTGTAGATTTACCTACTTCTTCACTGTGTGAAGTGTGTCGTAATGTATGAATATACATAGGCAGATTAAATAACTATTATGCAAAGTATATTGGTCTTATTTATCCAACAATTTTGAAAATATAAACAGTTGTATTTCAACAACTTCTAAACCATAAATTTATAAACTGAAAGTTTTAAACTAAAAATTGGTTGGTTTTAATTATTATTTCATTGGAAATATAAATAAACCTGCGAAACTTTGTAGTAGAAACTAAGATAATGTATGGAATATTTAAAATAATAAAATAAAAAGTTATAAATAAACCATTTTCTAATAATCATCGTTCCCAAACATTTTTTTTAGAATTTAATTTACTCACCATTTGTACAAAATGTTTCGCTGCTCAGTTGGTCACATATATTATTTTACTGCAATTCGTTTCATATTATTTGTATTCATTTTTCTTTTTAAATAATCTCTGACTATTTTAGAATACATTCTCAAAAACTGATGACAAATAAATAATGTAAGATCTCGGAACGAATCAAATAATAACAAAAGGTAAAATAAATATGTTTTGGTACCTCATGAGTGCCTATTTAAAAAAAAAAAAAAATAAATGTTTAAAGTTTGATGAACGGGTTTCCCAACCACAAATATCGAGGTACACAATTAATATGAAGGCAAAGGTAAATAACAAACAGTGATAACGAATCTTGTTTGCACAACTGAAATTATCACAAGACCCGCCCAAAACGAGAAAATCCATCGTTGACAAAAGCTAGTGCTTGAAACCATGGCTTTGGCATCTGTTCGTTGCGAGGTATGGCTATCGGATTTATCGGTGGGCGGGACCCGTGGACCTGCAATCATGGCTGTAACTGATTTGCATAAGTTTTACAGCGAGCTTGCCGTGTGGGCTCAACAAGTTGCGAACGCAACAGTTGGCCGACTAGCCACATGCCAGGGGATGCATGCAGCACGACAAATACCTCTCCAAATCTCTGCTGCAGCCAGCTCTTAAGGAACAGTAAGGCTGGAAGCTATTTTGTTTACTTAAATTTTATTTCCTTCCAGTGTTAAAAATAGTCTTTTTTTTATGATCCACCATAAAAGCGAGAGTCCCAAACACAAGCTACCTATAAACAGTGTTAACGCTCATGTTTGTCTTCTTTCAGTCAGGGTTAAAAAAGCGATGGTGATTACTGACTCCTTAAAATAGTTTTGGTCAAAGCGTCCGTTAGACAAGAAGAAGAAGAAACTATACAAAAATGAAATGTATTGAAAATAAACTATCGACTTTATTGATATCAAAATATTTATTTTTAAATTAACTAAACGAGTAATGATGATTATGTATTGAATTATCTACTTACATTCGGTTGGCCAGCGTGATCCAAGAGAGTTAACCAAAATCAAAGATGGAACTTATCACTTCATAACACTCGCAAAGCACGGATATAACCAAGAGGCCGGCTCTTGTGAAACAAGATGGGACTGACACAAACCGAACAGAGGGAATGCGGAGAGCCAACTGAATGTTTACCACACTACTATCGATACTCCCCTCCCTTCGTGGCCACGAAGACTTCTGGCGTCACCTCTTCTACCTCGCGCCAAGGTGTCTGCACCATCTACTAACAATTTAGCCATGATAATTTAAACATAATGATTGCTCGTATTGGAACCCTTATTGAGAAATAAAGGCAACTCTACTAAGAGGATATGGAACCGATCTTAACAACTTGCGATTGATATCCATTGGATATTCCAATCCTGCGAAGCTCAAGCGCATAGCCAGGATTTTACTTCGGATGAGCAAAATAATTTCATTCCTTCTTACCTTGATTGAGGCAGTGCTTCCTTATTCTAAAAAAACTATTATATATCATTGGAGGTAGTTAATTGACTTTACTATATAGCTGATAAATAATCACAGGCTTTCGATGGATAAATAATCGAATAATTATCGATCCCAAATTGAGAGGGTTTAGAAGAGGACGGTCGTATATTGAACAGGTAATTAGCGAGTTTGAAATTAATTCTCAAGCACTATGCTCATCATCTGCATATTTTCTTCGTGGAGCTCCAGAAAGCATGATGAAGTTGACAGAGAAACGATACACTGGAAAAATATGGATTGGATCAGAAAATATTTAACCTCATTAAATTAAAACTAAGGACCAGTTGTATAATTGGAGTTCAGGTCAAGTTCAAGCTTGAATTACAGTCAACCATGAAAATCATGAATGATTGAGTGCACTAGCGGATCCAGGATTTATTTTTGGGGGGGGGGAGCCCCCCATCAGCCCGAAAGTTGTTTTTTTCATAAAACTAACGATAATTACTTTGGAACAAAGGAAAGAAACTAACTACCTGTATGAAATGGTGTTCAAGTGATTCCTAAAGAGCTAAATGTAATTTCACTAACAATAATACTTTAAGAGATACTTTTTAAATAGTTTTTTCGATAAAACATGGTTATATTTCACCATTTTGGGGGAGGGGCTTCTGCCCGAAAGCCCTCCCCCCCGTAGATCCGCCCTTGATTGAGTGTAGTTCAAACTTGAATTTGACTCGAACTCCGACTGTACAACTGGCCCTAAGTAACATATCTTCTAAATTAAATTACAAGGAGACCCTTATCTTTATTATTCTCCAATGTAGTCCTAGACAAAATTATTAAAATCTGTGAAAAAAGTAATTCAGGTACTGTTTAAAAACTCTAAATAAAGGTAATATGGAACTAAATGTTTGGCCAACGCAGATAACTTTTCTAGAAGTGAACAAGAAGAGAATAGTCAAATAAATGAACTTAAGGAAACTTACCAGCTGAAACAAAATTTTAAAATCTCCTCTCTCAGAGCCAAAAATGATGATTAGCACCCATACGTAATGAAAATAAAGTATGAGAAAATCAAGATGGTGAAAGAATTATCGAGGTGAAATCGTAAATATTAATAACAGGAGTGGTATGTCTCCTGTAATCGAATGAAGGCAAATCGAAGTGGATGAAATAAATTTCACTGCAAACAATATAACAATAAAAAGCTATTTATTAATGCCAAGATCAAACATCACAACTCTATACACAGTCAAACCAATACTCATGTATGCAATAGAAACAGCCAACCTCTCCAATACAGAAAAACTTCTAAAAATTGAAAGGAAGATATTGTGAAGAATCCACGGACCAAAAATAACCGAACGATACCGAAAAATACCTCTTTAGATAAAATCAGGATACTTGGGGATATATGCATTCCATAATGCGGGGAAAAAAAGTTAAAATTCTATTCTACACGGAAACATGACAAGAGAATGAATCCTTCAATTAAAAAAAAATATTCAATATGAAAGGCCTGGTCAGTCGTTGTAAAGAAATAAAAAAAAGACATAAACAACTCGAAATTAGCAGTAAAGCCTACTTGGACGGAGATGGATTTAGAAAAAACAATAATAATAAACTAAATGTTCTTGTGAGAATGAAGGAAAATACACAGGGAGGAAATGGATTGCAGAAAGGTGGGCACTTCATTCTAAACGAATGAAAGATTCATCCAAAAAGGAGAAAGAAGTAAAAAGAAATGATATTTGTGTAGTCCATAGCTGGCCTCTTCACCAAAAGAGAAAACATATATATGTTTATTATTTTGAGGGAGAAGGAATATTTTAAGGTTACACTGGCGCAACTGTGTTTTTTTTTTTTTTATTGGATATTAATACACGGAGTATATCCCCCTGCATTAATGTTAGGCGGTGACATCCCCGTTGATGTCACTTTACAAGGCTTAAATGCCCAATGTTCATTTACGTCTTCCTCTAAAGTACCTTTAACATGGTTCATTTCAAATAATTAACTATCTCTCATTATTAAAAGCTACGAAAAAATGCTAAAAATTACTTTTGAAAGAATTTTGATAATTGAATGAAGGAAAAAGTAAATAAAAATGCTTATTAATGTCGAATACGAATCTCCGGAATTACCAGTCAGAATGTATACGTATAATATATCGTTGGAAGACTGAGAATTTTAGAAAAAACGACATCTAATACAGAAAGTTGTAGAAGGTAACGGAGAGTAGCGAAAGAAGTATAAATAATAATTTTCAGAAAACTAACATTATTTCACGTGTTTCCAAGGAAATTAAATGGAATTTCCTTATTATATGCTAACTTTTAAATGTTTTTCTAAGTTTAAAAAAAAAGTATTAAAAATCCACCTAATCAACCTAATGCCATTGTTTAAAATACTACTTCTTTGTACTTGTGTGAAAGAAAAAGTAAAATATAAAATCATTTCATGGATGTATAAACCATATGTTTATAACCTTAAATACATTTACTCTAGTTTAATAATTCTAGATCTGATATTATATTTATTATCTCACAAACTTGAACCTAACACTCCCATCTATCCCAAAATTCGAAAACTCAAAAATAGAACCCTGGTCACCTATCCCTAAACTTACAAAATCAAATCAAAAGGCAATTCGCCAATTGTACCGTTAACAGATTTTAATCGCTTCAAAAAAGCCCATCAGGAATGGGCATTTATTTATACCGATGGGTCTAAAAGTAAAGGAGTATACGCTAGATTGGGCAGAATTTATTTGAAATAACATTTCCGGATTAAATCGTTAAATAAACCTTAATAGTTATTTCGGAATTAATTTATTTCATGAAATAACATGAACATTATTTCCGAAATGATTATTTCTGGAATAAATTATTTTAATAATAACGATATAATTATTTCTGAAATGATTATTTCACAAATAATGTCCTGAAACAATCATTCTGATAGCTGCAAAACGGCTTGAAATAACCAAAATAAAAATAGTATTGCTCGCTCAAAATTTACTTGTCGATAATGCCCTTGTTTATTCCCAATAAAAGATGCTGTCAGTACTCCATTACTTTTATGATTTGAGAACTTTTATTAGGAAAAAGTTCATATAGGACCTAACCACCTAGTAATCAATATTAGGTCTATTATTATATTTTATTGATAGGGGCGCTTCTTATGAAAATACTGTAGAATTTGCGATTGCGCCCCCCTCTCCCTCCTCCCGCATCGCCTTTTTGTTATTTTCCGGATTTAATCGATATCAGTATACACAGAAGTACAATGAAGTATTATTTTAAACAAAGGCATTAGCTTGATTAGATGGATTTTAAATCCTTTTTTTTTAAACTTAGAAAAACATTTAAAAGTTTGCATATAGTAAGAAAATATCATTAAATTTCCTTGGAAACACGTGATTTACGTGTGTTTTTATTTATTATTTTTTTATTTACTTATTTTTTTTTATTTTAGTTTTTATTTAATGTTATATCAGTTTGATTTATTCTGTTACTCCAAGTTTTATTTTATTTTATTTTCTTATAATCTTGTTGTTCTTTTATTGTATATATGGTGTGATTGTACTTCATTCATCATAAATACTCAATGCCCTTAATTGAGGCAAAATGTTTTTTTTTTCTCAATAAAAAAAAAAAAAAACTTTTCTGAAATTATTATTTATTCTTTTTTCGCCACTCTCCGTTACCTTCTACAACTTTCTGTATTAGATATTGTTTTTTTCTAAAATTCTCAGCCTTCCAACGATATATTATACGTATACCTTCTGACTGGTAATTCCGGAGATTCGTTTTCGAAATGGATAAGCATTTTTATTTATTTTTTTCCTTCATTCAATTATCAAATTCTTTCAAAAGTAATATTTAGCATTTTTTCGTAACTTTTAATAATAAGAGATAGTTAATTATTTGAAATGAACCATGTTAAAGGTACTTTTAGAGGAAGACGTAAATGAACATTGGACATTTAAGCCTTGTAAAGTGACATCAACGGGGATGTCACCGCCTAATGCAGGGGGATGTAACTCGTGTATTAACATCCAATAAAAAAAAAAAAAAAAAAAAAACACAGTTGCGCCATTGTTATCTTAAGTTGGTAACCTTAAAATATTCCTTCTCCCTCAAAATAATAAATATATATATATGTTTTCTCTTTTTCATCACTTATTTTCATTAGAACCTGGACGTTAAAAATATATAAATTAGGAAAAGAATTTCTTCTTTATTAAAAAAAAAACTACAATGTTTGTTTAAGACCATACGATAGAAATGAAAACATGAGAAGGTGGGCTTAATAATATGAAATATAATTTTTTGTTTGTTCTATATTCACAAAGTAATAACATTTAACATATATATATATATATATATATATATATATATATATATATATATATATATATATATATATATATATATATATATATATATAATATTATTAATATATATATATATATATATATATATATATAATATTATTAATATATATATACTTTTGAAAATAATATTATTAATTACTGACCCTATTTCTAATTAATTTTCATACTAATTAAATTGTCTAAAAATATTTCGTATATTTTTCTGTAAAAGAACTCCTAAACGATCTAAAAGTTAGGCAAATTTCATCTCTCATAAAGAAATGGATTTGGCCAGCATCGGATTC